CACCTTTAACCAGGTGAAGTGATGACTAATAGGCATTAAAAATTCTGTAGTTCAGCCCTAGTTAGGTGGCCAGTCAGTTTGGAACATTGTCCTGTATACCAAAATGTGGGTTCGACTCTTGGTCAGGGGCAGATATCTAGGTTGTGGGTTTGATCCCTTATCGGAGCATGTATGGGAGGCAACCGATTTGATGTTTCTCTATCACATGGATGTTCTCTCTCTTTCTCTCTCTCTCTCTCCCTCCCTCCCTCTTTTCCTTCCCTCCTTCCCTTCCTCTCTCTCTAATATCAGTAAAAACATGTCCTTTGGGTGAGGATTAAAAAAAGAAAAGAAAATCATTATTATTTATCATACTTTAAAATTGAGTTCTTCATAAGACATGAATAATTAACCCATTTTCATCATTCAAACCATTTATGGAATTAATAATCCCAAAGTTAAAAATTTTAGCAACACTGAAGTATTTGTAATGGTAGTATTATATTATCACTGAATCTGGGCTTGGTTTAAGATAGTAGCAGCACACAGATGGGATCTGAACTATAAGAAAATGGAATACACATACCAAGTCATCTGGTGATTCTGCATGTAGACCATCAATAATTACATGATCTCCAGCAAGTATAAAGTTCTGGCGAATGTGTTCTGGTAAGAGATGCTTCTCAATCTTGTTGGGAAAGTTGGCTCCCATAAGAAATGTACTACTCAAATCCAAGATTTTAACATTCAGGTCCACTGCTCTTTTTACGCTATATGGGGGCGGAAGTGGGGGAGTAAAAGTTATTTAAAGGCATTTAAGCAATATTGTACAACTAATTTAATAACCATATACCAGGTATACCAGTTAATAATGCAGATTTTGTAATCAAAGAAAACCCATAATTTCAAGAGAATCATCAAAAGTCCTTAATTCAAAGTAAAGTCCATCACTAGCTACACATCCCCCACATCTTTCAGGTAATTTGTGGATACCATCCCTATAGAACTTTTCTTGTTTTGAGGGAAATCATTCAGAGACCCAATTTTCCACTTCTTCATACCTTTTGAAGTGCTGCTCAAAAAGTGCATGTGCCATCGATCTGAACAAGTGGTAATCTAAAAAGGAACAAGGTCTGGTGAATACAGTGGGTGGGTTAATACTTCCCAGGCAAGATCTTTTAATGTGTCTTTAACTGGTTTTGAAGTGTGTGATGATGTGTTATGAAGCAAATTTACTTTGCCGTGTCTTCTGGCCCATTCTGGTCGTTTCACGATCAGAGCGTGGTTCAAATTGATTATTTGTTGTCAGCAGCGATCAGTATTAACGGTTTCACCTGGTTTTAGAAGCTCATAATACACCACACCTTCCTGATCCCACCAAATGCAGAGCATTGTCTTCTTTCCAAAGCGATTTGGCCTTGCAGTTGATGTTGATGGTTGACCTGGATCAACCCATGATTTTATGCATTTGGGATTCTCAAAATAAATCCACTTTTCATCACCAGTCACAATTCGATGCAAAAAAGACTTTCTTGCCACTGAAGCAACATTTTACTGATGACTTTTCAGTTTTCCATTTGTCTTTTGTTCAGCTGACATGGCACCCATTTTCCTTCCTTTAAAATCTTTCCCATTGCTTGTAAACGATCAGAAATTGTTTGATGAGCAAAGTTTAAACTTTCTGCAAGTTGTTTTTGAGTTTGACACACATCTTCATCCAATAATGCTTGTAATTGTTGGTCTTCAAACTTTTTCAGTTGACCTGGACGTTCTTTGTCTTTCACATCGAAATCATCACTTTTAAAGCATTTAAACCAGAGTTCACAAGTATCTTGAGATGGAACATGTTCACCATAAACTTCCCATAAGCTTCAGCAGCACTTCTCTTCAAAATAATGAATTAAAACTTCCCGCAAATGCTCTTTTTTTGGCACGAAATTCAACATTTTTAAGCATAAAAATATCTATGATGTTAACACCTTCAGAAAATTTGACATAGGAAGAAGTTTTGAAGCTTGTTGTCAATACAACAAAATAGCATACATATCAAATCGCATATATATCAACATATGTGTAACTCCATCTACTGAAAAAAATCCGCATTATTAACCAGTACATCTGGTAGATGTCTATTAAATAGACATATAGATGTCTATAAAGATAGTAAACCAACATTAATATTTGACTTATAGTTTCATAAGCTCTATACTAATAGAAGGATAATATGCTAATTAGGCCGGGTTGACTGGACATCTTCCGGACATCCGACTTCCTTCCGGACAGTCAGGGGGCGACCAGGCCAGCAGGGGGGCAGTTAGGGGGTGACCAGGCTGGCAGGGACCAGTTAGGGGGTGATCAGGCCAGCAAGCAGAGGCAGTTAGGGGCAATCAAGCAGGCAGGCAAGTGGTTAGGGACCATCAGGCAGGCAGGCGAGTGTTAGGGACGATCAGGCAGGCAGGTGAGCGGTTAGGAGCCAGCGGTCCCGGATTGCGAGAGGGATGTCCGACTGCCAGTTTAGGCCCCATCCCTGCAGAGATGGGGCCTACACCGGCAGTCAGACATCCACTGAGGGGTCCTAAATTGGAGAGGGTGCAGGCCGGCCTAAGGGACTGCCCCCCCACCCCCCGCATGAATTTCGTGCACCAGGCCTTTAGTATTAAATAATAAAATGAATATTGAATATATTATTTATGTACTAAATGTATAACATACTTGCAATATGTTAATTCTATTTTTGATAGACATTTAATATCTAGACAAAAAGATTATCCTATGTTGTATAGTGTTTACATGCTTTAAGACTTACATAATTTCTAGAGTTCTATTTTATGTCTAGGTTATATAACTAATTTTTGAGATGAATAATATTAGGAAGTACAGAATCTTTCCCTATCCCCCAAAAGACCGCTTAGTTAAGAGACTGTAGTTGAATCTAGTCAATACAATGTTTAAAAGTATTTTTAGATTAAAAGTTAAGTATTTGAAATGTAGGTGAGAAAATATACTATCTTAGAAGATTATACTAAAAAGGTGAGGAGAAAGGAATTATTAAAATTCTTCACAAAATGTAGAGAACTTCCAGAAGGGGGAACACTTTAAGAGTTCTGAATTTTGCAAATACTTTGGTATCTAGAGAACGACAGCAGTGGAGTGGTGAGAACTAGACTGGAGCCCATAAGGCCAGGACCACATATTCTCTCTTTTGTGCCTGGCCCTCACTGTCAGACTCTCACTGTCTGGTCCTCAGATAGCCATAGGTGATGTTGGAGATGGTGTTGGAACATCTATGGGAATTTTATTTGGCAGTAACACTTTTAGGACACACAATCTATGGAAAAAATGTGTAGCAAAGGGGTGACACAAATATTTCGAATGAAATATAAACTATAGTTCAGGTCTACCGGAGGACAAGAGATAAATTTTCAGTTTTTACTAGAAAACTAAACAGGCACCTGGACCTGGGCTCATGATGGGCATCATGTGAAAACAAATGGAAGTCTTTCTGGAAAAGGAGTCAATAGCTATTAACAGATTCTAAACCAGCCGTGGGCGTACTACGGCCCGTGGGCCGGATCCGGCCCGTTTGAAATGAATAAAACTAAAAAAAAAAAAAGACCGTACCCTTTTATGTAATGATGTTTACTTTGAATTTATATTAGTTCACACAAACACTCCATCCATGCTTTTGTTCCGGCCCTCCGGTCCAGTTTAAGAACCCATTGTGGCCCTCGAGTCAAAAAGTTTGCCCACCCCTGTAGACCCTAAAAAAATGATTTAGGCAGCACTAAAATATTTTTAAAATAAATATATAAGA